TATATTAATATATATATTTATTTATATAGCTTATAATTACTTTAATCATATTTCTCTAATTTATAATATTGCAGAATGAAACTCCTATATAAATGAGAGTTGATTAAAAATAGAAAAAGCAGTGCAGCTTACAGAATATTGTAGCACAAAGCATGTATATCAGCATATGCCAAGTCAGAAAAGCTGAAGCATGCTTTTGACATATCAGAAATCAAAACATTTTTTTTATGTATAATGAAAATAATTTCAACCGTCTTATGATTTCTCATAGAATCAATCTGTGAACAAGCAAATCAAATAAATGGTTCACATTCCTATTAGTAACCATGTTATATGCAGCTCATACCAAATCAATATTATTACTAAAAATATATTTATTTTAATGTTATCTGTGCTAGAATCTGTATGGAATACATTTCACTAGCTCTTTCACTCCCACACAGACTGCCTCTTTGGAGTTTTACTAGGCAATCTCTTTACAGCATCTTTAAATCTATGCTTTGTTTTTACAATCCATTTGTTATATATTGCTCTGTAACATTCAGAGTTCTTTGACTTCAAAAACAAAGTTATTATGATAATGTCTCACAAAAAATTATTGCTATGGTGCAGGAATAGAATGCTCTCAGATTGTATAAAGGCATGAAGTCCAGTGAGTCAAAATCTATTTGCTTTTCCTCCTGAGTGGTAGATCTTAAATGGGATATGTCAGCCACACAGTTCCTGACAAGTATGTGCAGACTCATGTACCACACAGCTCTCTTGCATCAAACCCATCTACACACTTTTACCTGCAGCAATTATTCCACTTCAGCCTCTATAAGTTAAGGCACAACATGAACCTCTGATTCTTCATTTGAATGTTACTCTTTTCCATTTCTTGCATTCGTTGCCATGTGACAAATGTTTCTTTCCAGTTTTGGAAGGGCCTATTAAAAAGATTAAACTTATCTTTCTGCTCCATCCAGGACCACGGTACATCAAATGCTGCTGCAGTTCTCATTTTTGACACTACTGGTGTCACTAGGTTTACAGCAGGTAAAGTGGAGTCAACAGAACATAACCAATGTTGAATGCAAGTCAATAATGATCATGTAGTGCTTTGAGGTTTCCAGTAGAAATGTTATGAAAATGCTCTGTATTATTCCTTTGTGGCTTATCTTCTGCCATGCTAACTTGAAAACCTTACGCTATTGGCAGCATTTGTATTCCATGTCTTCTTGACACATTTTGTTTTATTCCTGTAGATGCTTGAAGTGTGCAGATGCCCCGTGTCAGAAGAGTTGCCCAACTAATCTGGACATCAAGTCATTCATCACAAGTATTGCAAACAAGGTAAAATCAGGCTTGCAGTAGTACATGGAAACAGATAACAGCAGTTACTTGCAGTTCTGTTAGTGAGATTGCAATTCAAGGTTTATCTTTGTAGTCTTTAAAAAACAGTGTTTACAACAGATACATTAAAGTTCATCAGTCAGCTAGTTTTTAATTATATTTGCTTCTGTTCTCTGCCGTGATGTTGTTTACAGACGGTGTATAGTGCAAATCTATTTCTTCATGTTGCTTTTTCTATAAAGTTTTTGGTTTTGATCGTTTTCAAATATAATGATATTCAAAAAAATGAGCATTACAATGTAATTATTTAACTTTACTGCTACCTGAGTTACTACAGTTACAAACCTTTTCTTTCATTAAAGGTCATTTGTTTTGTTGTGTTTTTTTTTTTTTTTTTTTAAAGAAGTGATTATAGTTTAAATTTGCTTTGGGCAGAAATTTGGTGTGAAGGTGGTCATCTCAAGGAATGTTTTATTGGAGTTTCTAGTAAGAGGCTCTGGTTAATGGAAATGCAGTCAGTCACTTAGGCTATTAATAAAATCCTACAGGAATAAATTGAACCCCATCTTTGGAGGTACTGTACCTTTTCCTTTCTTAATAGGCTATTATACTATAATCATAATGAAATCTTAAAAACATTATTCTGATTTGTGGTTTACAAATGACTTTCAACAGTCAGAAATAGAAATAAATAAAGATGACTGCAAAGTTGATATGACAAGATTAATTAGGCTGTCTGGGATAGCCTAAAGATGGCTGGATATTGATTGCCCCATACCTTTTAAAACTTACTTCCCATCTGTGGAATCATTAGCTGCCATGTGATTTATTTGTCTGTATGAGCCCAACTCGACTCGTAATCTACTGGGGGTGCTACAAAGATTTTTCTGGCCGCGTTTTATGCTCCAACATGTCTTATTTAGATGCAGCTGAAGGGGCCAATGCAGGTAAAGCTGGAGTGACGTGGGCAACAGCACCACTGCCGTGTGCCCGTTGACAGCCACATTGCTTTTACTACACTGTGTGCTGTACAGAGGAGACAACGGTAAATTCTGTACCTTAACAAGAAACCTTAGGATAAGAGGAGATACTAAGATACATGTATCAATTACAACATAACTATATGTTGGTGTTGTTTACAGTAATTGGCATTATGCCCAGCATCTGCATATAGGCAGATTTCTTATATATTCTCTACCCTGTCACTGCAGCATTTATTTTCATAAATGTAGGCATCTGTTTGTAACGACAGTATAGTATGCGGCATGTTGCTGCTTATAACCTCTTCCAGGCATCATGAAGCAGGCAAACTGAACAGAGAAGGTGCAAGGCAGTAATGAAACTGCTAGTCTCCAACTCATCGTTGTGCTGTAGTTTGTTTAGGAAACCTAAACCAAATATTGTTTTACCAGGATGGACTTTTCTTATTAAGGGTACTGCTTTGGGTAGGATAGGGTGGTGTGTTGTTGAGGAAAAAAAAAAGGGCCTGATCAAAACGTAACATCTGGGAGTAAGGAACCAGGGAAGATGGGCTGAACACTGCAACAGACAATGTCAGAAGAAGAACTAACACCAGCAGCATTGTTGAACGATAAATGTGGTGGGTCTTTTAGACTGATAGCCTCTGAAATACGATGTCCCTTTGTGACTTGGCAGTTGTTTGAACAGCTGATTCATCCTGAATTCTGTGAATGCGTAATAGAGCAGAGAAAAGCAAGGTGGAGTGACTGCAGAACTTTGAAAGTTGTATTTTGGCAAAGGTTTACTGGAATAGTATTAGGAAACTGTCAAAGGTGTGAAGTCTTTGCCCTGGGTACACTTTTACAGGTTTTAATAGGGCCAGATTTAACATGACAGATGTCAATGAGGTGGTTCAACCCTATAGAGTTTGGGCTGTTTGATGATAACTCTTTTACATCATCTTGGAAGCTGCAGATGCTAGGTAAGATGCTGGTTTTGCTCGTAGCAGGTGACCTAATCACTTGCTGTTTTATCAGGAAATCCTGCTTTAGAAAAGAATTGCAGTATACTACTATTCTCTCAGGAGATTTAACATTCTTTATGGAAAAAACTGAGTATCATAGATTACTGAAATGTGCTTACAGCCTTTTATTTTTGGATCTTATCCCTATCTATCAGTAGCTTCTGTACACACTCTGAAACTAGTTTTTATAACAGGTATACAACAGGTTTAGTAACTGCTGTGACCTCATGTTGATGCCTGATAATTGCATAGAGAGCAGAAGACATTCACAGAGAGGAAGTTTTAAGAAGTCAAGTAGTTGGTTTCTCCTAGCCAAGATGTTAGGATGGGAAATTGCATGTCTAAAATCAGTGCTGCTTCTTTGAAATCCAGTTCCAAGTGTGAGTTTACATACGTCTTACCCTTTGCTTTTCTCCTTACCCCATTGGAGGAAATCTGCTATAGCATGGTTGTGGCAGATATTCTCTGAAACAGCTCTAGTGCTGACTTTAGAAACAAGCAAACAAACAGAAAACCAAACCAAACCAAACAAAAAACAAACCTAAAAGTCTGTAAGTGAGAAAACCCACAGCTGGATATGCTTAGTAAATAGCTGAAGTCGTGGGCAGAGAAACAAGGTTAGGAAGTCCTGCATGTTTGTGGCCTCCGTATAATTCATATACCAAGCAACCTCTCAGGGGAATAAACAGTGCGTAGGGAGAACCCAACCTTGTCTTGATGGCTGAGGTCTGCTGGGCTGAATTTTCCTTTTGATGAATTAGTTTCTGGTGCCTTTGCTAGAAAATGTTTCTGTTATAACAAATTCTGTTCTTCAGAAAAAGTAACAGTAAATTCTTCTGGTTCACTTTATTAATAGGATTTTTCTCTAGGTATAGGTATGTACTACTGCTTTTACGCTACTGCACTTTGAAACTCCTTGCTTTCTGCCAAGCAAGCAATAGATAGAAGGTGGAAGTTGAGAGAGAGGTATCGAAAGTAGAAATGATTCACCTGAAGTCATGTCCCTGGCAGAGTCTGTCTGAGAGCCACTACCATGGCTGCTCCTGCAGTGTCATCTCCCCTCTTTCATTCTGCTGCCATGGAGTTTGGGGTACCTGCACCGAATGTTTTTAGAGCAGATAGACAGAAAACAAGAATGGTGTGAAACACCACTAAAACTTCTAACTTAGCATTTTGAAAGTTTTTAATGGAACCAGTAATTAATTTTTCACTTTGTTATGCATTTTTCTAAACTTTTATTGAAATAATAATTCAGATAACATTCAGCAATCTGCTTGCTGAATATTTTTCTATTATTGTCATAAAAGTATTTACTTTACATGATCAAGGATATTTTACATTTTGTCAAAAATACTTTTGAAAATGATAAATCTTTTTTGCTGTTTTCACCTTGTAGACTTTCTTTTTTAATCCAAAATCTTATAAATATATCTGGTAGTTTCTAGACAAAACGATTAGGTGAAGCATGGAACATTCAGATATTTGAGGTCAAAAAATCCAGGAAATTGGGGTGTGCTTTCTAGGCTTACTGAAGTCCCTGTCCTGATTCTGCATCTTTCTTCATCACTCACTTGAGAAACTCCCTTCAGCAGGTTACCCTTCTACTTGTTTAGAGGAGACTCAATTCAATAAATTTATTGTCCTCATCTCTGTGTAAGCGGTATTGCATGCAGGTATTTACTTAAACGTGATTCATTATTAATATAGAGTATTTAGACAGCAGCGCACTGAAAATTAATTACTTTGTCAGGTATTTAAGAGCTCTATTGTATGTACTTTGTTCTGTTGGAAAACTGCTATAGTAATCATAAAAGGTCAGGGATTCTTGTTGTCTTAAGCCTGAGGCTTTTTAGATATTTACAGGCCTTCTACAATGTAGCTGCTCTGGCTGTTCTGCCATTAGACCTGAGCTCGGGAGTAGAAGAGGGACAGGGGAGGAGGGGTTATTTCTGGGTTGAGAGAGTAATTGAATTGCCAGACTCAATGAGCCTTGAGCCTCTTTGAGAAAAAAGATGTCACTTAGGCTGTATTGTGTTAGCTGCTGTGACTCGGTACAGTTTAGGCCACAACTTCCATTCTCTTTTTCCATACAAACTGGATTACAACTCCACTTCATAAAGGTACAATCTATTCCATTGTGTCTTCCCAGTCAGTGTTTCTCGGTTCATACAGACTGCTTGCAATTGTGTCTCTCAGAGACCAGACTTCAGATTCACTGTGCACACATTACTGCTTTTGTTTCTAAACATTAGAGGATGCCAAACAAGTATTCTGACTTCCAGCTGTCTTCTCTTTAAATACAGCCTTCCATTGCAAAATATATGTTCTTTGTTTTATAATGCACAAGTGTCATCTCAGTTATTTCTTTCTTTAAAAAGAAAAACACAAAGAAAAAAAAAGTGTTCAGCTGCTGCAGGAGAAAGCCTTTCCCCCGTAGCCCTGAAAGAGTACCAGGAGTGATTTTAGGATTTTATCTTCTCCTTTCCCATGTTGATACTCCAGCATCCGTCATCTTTTAGGGCTAGCACAAGCTAATATTGCACAGCAGCGAAAATTCCTGCAGCTTCCCAGAAGCAACTCTCAGCCTGAACATTTGTGGCCTGTCCAGCTTTCCTCCTGTTAAGCCGAAGTGTGTGCCAGAGGAAGCTGCCCATTAGAAAGCAACAGCTGCTCACATGCTTTACCTTTGCACTGTTCAGTGAGATGGTCTTGGAGCTTTATATTATCAGACACCTTTATGATTGAGTAATCACATTGAAAAACAACTGTTGATGCGTTAGGCGTGGGGATATTAAATGGTGTTACATGACACAGGCATAAGCAATGAGTGACTCAGCCTTTGTAGTCTGAATCTATATGAAGAATTGGGGGTGCAGAAGTATCTTTTGTGTTATCAGTACTCAAAAATCAGTTTGTCACTGCAGCCTCCTGTAACTAGCTCTCACATTTTTGTCTCAAGTATTGCAGTGTTACAATTATTCCTGACATTGATTCAACGATTTTCTCCTTGTTCAGA